TCATAAACCAGAAGCTGTAGTAATTCGTCCAAAACAATACGAACTTTGTGTGTGAGAGAAACAAATCCAGCAATATTTTTGCCACCTTGGTTTGTTGTGGAATCTATGAATTAATAAATACTGTATTACGTCATGCTATTCACGTGTAGCCTTTCGTCCACAATGTATGCATTTTCTATATCGTATTATTTTTCGCTTGGGTTCTTAAAGGAACATCGGGCTTCAACAGTACATCTCCACTTTGTCCTGTTCTCTGAGTTCCTCTTTAGCTTACCCCACAATTACTCATAAGCTTTAATCACTTCCCACAAGATCTCCTCCATGCCACCCTCCGACACCCAACTCGTCATTTCCAATTCAGGTTCCACTCGAGCAATTCCCTGGCGTGTGATGTCACCCAACGTTCTCCTCAGCTTATGTCCAATCCAACTCCATATAATTCGGCATAAATGTTGAGCAATAGGCATTTTAGTAATTCACTTTCGGAAATTCTAATTTCTAATCCTTTCTGACTGGCGATTTGATCTTCAGTATGGAGCCAGCGAAGGCAGCTGTTGGTAAAAGTCTGCAACCTCTTGGAAATCCTTGTCGTGACATGCTGGCCACGTTTCTGACCCGTATAAAACAATTGACCGAATTCATATTTGTGTTGAAAATCCTAGTCTTGTTCTTTATACTGAGTAAATGCAGAAAAAATGAAGGCGCGTATCTTGCCTTTCCGATTCTCACTGGCTTTGACGTCTTCATCCGTGCTGTCGCCTGTAGTTGAAGCGATGTTGCCCAGATAAGTGGAGGAAGTGATCTCTAACAAATTTCTCTCATTTATGGTGATTGGTGCTGGTTGTTATTGTTGTTGTTGACTGATTATCTTCGTCACCTCTGTCTTCTCTATGTTCACTTGAAGTCTTGTCTTTGCTGCCTGTTCTACCAGATTGTTGGCTTTCGCCTGTAATTATTCAAATTTATTTTTGCACGAAAATTCATCTGATGCATTTATCAGTGTGCCTTTAATACTTGTGAGGCGAAATCTTATATTATGACAGTTTATTTTTGGTTATTCACTGGCACACGCACACATTTGCACAAGCTTCTATTCCATTTTCTCTTTATGTTTGTGATTTTGGTCTTTATTAATACGAAATTTATAATCAGACTGAAGAACATTCAATATGAACGTTAATCACAAGCAGTAGTTAGTATATATTCATCATCAATGCTTTTTAGCCACTTTGATATTTGACACGCTATTTTTTTGTATTTCATCATGTACATTTTCCAACCTGTAATCTAGTGAAAATTTACTCGTCATTCGCATATTATTGATCTGAATGATTCGATTTAGAAAAGTAGATACTAGTGTTAGCGATAACCATTATTTTTTAAGAGTTATTCCAAAGAGATCTGATTTGTTTCAAGGCTGATCACGGATTAGTGTCACTTAATGAACCACTGAAAAACAGTAGACATTACTGTGTAGTGAGGGCTGGCTGCTAGCCGAAATTGGTAGATAGTAATTTACGTCAGTGTATACGTCCCCAATATTGGTCATGAGAAAAATAAGAATAAAGACTGACTCAACAACCAATCACAGCAGACTTTGCGTAGGCGGATACAATTTGCAGAAAGATAATCTGAACTTCCAGAAACGGCCACAAAGTGATGAAAGATTAACGTTCAGCGAGAAACTACCAATCAGGGGACTGTGTTTGTTTGCTTAACTAATCTATAATAATGTACATGAAAATCTATAAATATGTGTTGATCTCCTAAATAAATGATCTGTTTCCTTGCCCTTGTCTTCTGTTGTTACAACTGGACTGAGATCAATTTGTGATCAAACTTGAAAAAAATATCAAATCCTTACAAAACTAACTGTTGAACATTAGTCTAAAGCTTCCTAATGACTGGGTACAGGACTAAGTTGCCTGGAGTTCTAGTAGGAAGCCATGACCACTTGGGTTCACCAAATACTCGCCAGGAATGACAATGACTGGTGGTCACACTAAAATCACGAAATGGTAGAAGGTAGAGTTCATGCGCCATTGAATCGTGTCGAAGTGGCTGAATGATCTGCCAGCTTGCCATGTGGCCTGAAGGTCTTACATTATAACTTCAACGGGTGCTTACTGATTACGAGCACCAAACTAAGATGGAACAGCTATCCAATGCTTCATGCTTTTCAATGGTTCTCTGACTGAAATCAATCCATAGTCAAATGTCATAATAATTATTTCTTTATTGTTATGGACGCATACCTTTAGAACTTGATGTTGGAGAAGTTGTCGACTAATCAGTGATTTGAAATTTCATGTATTGGAATGTATACTGTACTCTTGAATAATTTTCACTTAAAAATAATTATCAGACATAGATAGTAAGAAAATCTTCAACTGTAATAGTAGCAGTCCAACGGTACACAAAATAGTCTGTTGCAAACGTTGTTCAAAAGAACGAAGACCCATGGAAGTATCGCAGTATTGCGAAGAATAGAGGAGAAACATTTTATAACTATCTTCTGGAAAAAAATAGATATTAAAGACACTTCATCAACAGAAATCTAGCCCCATTTCAAACAGCCAACACAAAATCATTCCAGAAAAGTTCAAAGACCGTAGTTCCGCCACATATGAAGAACACTTATGAAATCACCAGCAAGCTACTGAAATATTCTGTATTAGGTGTTGTCCACTAACTGACAAAGTCATTTCGCTACATGTCATTGTAGACTTATGGACTTAATAACAAAACTAGAAAAAAAAACCAGAATGAATTATACTAGATAATTGGAGGCGATCGGCAGGAAGCCTTGCCTCACCTAGGTTTCGTGCTAGTTGGCACTCGTCATCAGGGCGTATCTGCAACGTCGAAGGAACTCATGTCTCTTCTGAGATTCGAACCGGAGTCACCCAGTGCTGCAGTCAGAGACGTTACCACTGAGCTATTCGGGGTTCCGATTAACCTAATTACAAGCCTGACTGATATAATTAAGTCTGCACCAAAGAAACGACTAGACGCATAACAATGGTTACTAGGGTCCAGTCAAAATACCCACTACAACCCTGCAGGAGGTCAACTGCGATCCCGAATAGCTCAGTGGCAACTTCTCTGACTGCAGCACTGGGTGACGCAGGTTCTAATCTCAGAAGGGCCATGAGTTCCTTCAAGGTTGCAGATACGCCTTGATGGCGAGTGCCAACTAGCACGAAACCTAGGTGAGGCAATTCTTCCTGTTGATTGTCTCCAATTATCAAATATCATCAAATCAACGTGCGCCATGATGGCGAGCTACCTAGAATGATGGCCACATTGCGAACCTGATTGAAAGAATTCAGTCTACACCAAAGAAAGGACTAGACACGTCGCACTACTTACTAGTGTCCAATACTATAAATTGCACCAACTCTGAGAAACCTCACTTTGGTCCACTTCATTTTCACAACTATGAAAATAAACCAGCAGTGAAAGGAATTGATGTACATTTATTCATATCAATGCTCACTACCTGGACATCATTTTCACTGGGAAAATGCAAAAATCTTAAACAGAAAAGACATGAAGAATATCAGAGGATTCCTAAAATTCAAGTGCTCAGAACAATTTACAACTGTTAGACATGTTGGTATTGAAATAAAAATTGTCAATTAATCATATAACACTGTGGTGAGAGCTGTCTGCTACCCAAAAATGGTAAACAGCAATTTTTGTCAATGTTTACGTCCCAAATTTTGGTCATGAGATAAAACAAGAGCAAAGCCTAACCTTGAGGAACTCAACAACCAATCACAGCAAACTGTGTGTGGGCGGATATGATTCGCAAATATATGGTTCGACCTTCAAAGAAGCGGCCACAAAGAGATGGCCGCGAGAAAACGACCAATCAGAAGACTCTGTTTCTCTGCTAATAATAACGAATAATAATGCACGGAAAAATCAATAAATATCTGTTGGTTTTCTCGATAAACGATCTGTTGCCTGGTCACTGTCTTCTGACATTACAACACTATCAAAATGTCAAATGTTAGGTCAAAGAGACAATCAATGTCAAAACTCATGAATACAATTATAAGAAAATCACTTGAAACAACTAATCCCCTTTTGAAGTTCATCACAAACAACTGTGATTTCATTTCTAAAGGATTCTAAAAGCTTACTTAAGCTAACACTCAAGATATCGTCTAGAAAGACAGTGAAAACTTCTCAGGTAACGTATCTGATTTAAAGGAGAGAACAACACAAAAGCCAACAGCACAGATTTGTTTCGAAATATGCCTTCGAAAATAAGAAGAAACACAAGTGTAAGTTATACTGTAAGTATTACAGGTCGATCAATGGAATTGTCTTATCTCGGTAGAATCTGTTTTCAAATATGCTGACATATATGAGTCACCAATTCTGTCGGTAAATTTTTAGTAATAACCATCTATCTTTAATGAGTAGGATATCATGAATTTCAAAATGGAAGGATAAACTTCAGTTAACACAGTCTAAGTGCTATTGATAATGGCGAAAACACAATACACATAACGAAACATACTACTGATTGGTTGAAATGAGTAGTTGAATACCATTCACAACAACTATTAGTGATTACTAACCAGATCGAAGTAATCTAAACACCTGACGGCCCTATTTGATTATTTGCTGACGAGGTCTTGCCTCAGCTGAAACAAACGAATTACTTCAAAACACCCAAAATCTGGCTAGCTACCTGGGCGAACTGGCTATCTGAATTACTTCGTTTTCTAAACGAAACTGTGGTGAAATAATTAAACCTTGAACCATAAAACTTACAGATAACAATTGAATTTGTAGATAGCGAATTTAATTCAAAACAATAAATACATGAAAGGAAGTATAGGATAGATTACTTTTTGAATAAATTCTTAAAATAATATAAAATTGTAAACTGCATACAATTTAAATATGAATGTTCTTGTTGTTTTTTCTCTTTTTACTGAATTTGAAGCATAAGATCCAAAAGTAGTTTGTCTATCCCAGTTTTAATGATGACAACACCGTGATTTGCGTGCATTCGACTTCTCATGAAGAACAATACGTGTCTCTTTAATGCGTACTTCAGTTGCTTGCTTTTCAAGAATCTGTAAAAATACGGAATAAATTTAAAAAGGACGTTGCAGAAATGTGTCTAAGAAAAGAAGTAATGTCGGCTAGGTTCAGTATGCAGAAACTATCATGTGTATATTTAATTCAATTTTAGATTTTCCCCTCGATTGATTGGACCGAAGTGCTCGGTCTCAGGTTGACATGTCGGCTTCTTGTGCAGATGCTTCGACGGTGTGTATGGTGACTAGCAGTGGAATCCAGGAAGCTGATTACATCCTATTTGGGACTCGTCGTCTGGATGTACCTGCATTCCACAGTGAGTGATGATGTTCCCACCGATCTGTCCAATCAATCTATGGGAAGATCTAAAATTAAATAAAATGATCAGTATGACCCGTTGCACAAGAGGTGGCTCTGATGACCCAAGTGGTCTAGTGGATAACGCTTTGGTGTTTGAAACTATGGGCACTGGGTTCGAGCCTTGGTGGGAATATCATCACTCACTGGGGAATGCAGGCACATCCAGATGACGAGTCCGAAATAGGACAAAATGATTCCACTGCCAGTAGCCATCCACCAATTAATATCATGTGTATATGTTTGCAAATATCTATAGGAAAGTTTAACTGAATGCTTTAGACATATATATATATATATAATACCTTAAACATATTTACTCACTAACAAACATCTATTTGCATAAGTGAAAGGCAACTCCATTATTCCGTAGCACCGACATTTTTACGAACGATAATTATCTATCATGTGGAGTCAACATACAGCGAAGCAAATTTTCGTGTCATTTATCTAACCATAGATATTACAGACTTAAGTGATGAGTTTGTCTCAGCACTAAGGAATCCACCAGTATTAGAGTCACTATCCAGTGGACATTTCCGATTCATCACCTATTCCAGAGAAATTGGCTATAAAATTTTACAGTTTCACCCCACACATCCCGGGGAGTGGTGTTGGGTGGGGATCTCTAAGACTGTAGACAAGTATGCGAACAAAGCTGAGATCCTGATACCGATAGAAAACTCTAAAATCTACACTTTACTATGTACCGTTAACTTTTTACTTTAGAATGGTACAGAAAAGTATTAGAAATTATCTTGAAAAAATATATTGCTCACACTTAATTAATCTAACAATCATTAACTGATAAACAAACATATAAAAGGTGATATGACAGTTAATAAACTTGTAGATGAGCTAACGAATTTCCTATCGAGTCAGTTTGCCAGCCTATTGTTCTAACCACTATAAGCAACAACCACACAATACGATACCGCCGATAACGCGACGCAGTAAGACAAGAAGAGAAGAAGGGCTATTGATGTGGAGAGCTTTAACTGTCTCGTATCAACAGCGAAAGTGATTGACAACGCTTGGGGTATATATATATATATATATATATATATATGACACTAATCACACTGATTAATTAAAACGGCCAACCACCAATAGAATTTCAAAGGTCATCAGTGGGGGTAGAGAAATACGAACAGACATGTGAAAAGCACACATCGAAAATTAGTTCTATCTATATCAAAAGGTCAACTTCTAATCCCAATGCTCAAAAAACTATTCATCCTGATCTACATAAATCTTCATGTATACGAACCTCCTCTGTTAGATTTTAGTAATCAAGATAGGGTATCTGTCGTATTCTGTGTGTTTAAAAAGTGACATCATTTTAAATATATGTAAAATTTTCCGTTAATAAACTGCTAAACTTGGGCCTAATTGATTTGGAAGTTGGTTTTGTTGACAGTAGATGTAAGAGATTGAATTCAAAACCGTCACATTTTTTTTCTAGGTGGGCACTTCACTTTCCATTTATCGTTTTAGAGCCCGAAGATTACTGATGTCCTACTCCTGCCAATTTGTGTCATAAATCAATAAGTCACTGTCTTTATGCAGATCGTATGAACTTCAGTAATTTTGATTGGATACTAGTTACCAGTGTGATGTTTCTAGTTCTCTCTATTGTGCGGACTGAATTCTGTCAGTCAGGTTTGCAATGTGAACACCATTCTAGGTAGCTCGCCATCCCAGTGCACATTCATTTGATGATATTAGATGGTTGGAGGCAATTGGCAGGAAGCCTTGCCTGACCTAGGTTTCGGGCTAGTTGGCACTCACCAGTCAGCAAGGCGTACCAATCAGCACCGTGATGGCGAGCTACCTAGAGTGGTGGCCGCATTGCAAACCTGACTGATAGAATTCAGTCTGAACCAAAGAAAGTACTAGACAAATCACACTGTTTACTAGTGTCCAATAAAAGTATCCACTTCAGTCCTACAGGAGGTCAATCGCGAGCCTGAATAGCTTAGTAGTAACGTCTCTGACTGCAGCATTGGGTGACAAGGGTTCGAGTCTCAGAAGGGACATGGGTTCCTAGATATTCGCAAACACGCCTTGCTGACGAGTGCTAACTGGCACGAGACCTAGTTCCAAGGCTTTGTGCCGATTGCCTCCAACCATCTTAGAACTTCCGTAAAGACGACTTACGATAAGAGCTCTGGAGAAATTTAGTCTTTAATCTAATCACTAATAAGATCTGTTTTGAAACTAGACTGTCAGGTTTGTAAAGGTTTAAAAGATGAGATAGTGAATTTCACCATCATTTTATCTAACAACTGAAAAGCGATAGGGGGCAAATATTTATAGATAACCATCCACGGAAGCTAGAAAAAATGAGTAGTTAGATTCAAATCAAGTAACTGATTCATAACCTTGTTGCCTTTGACATCTGACAGTGTTAGATTCCCTCCTGAATAAAGTCACCGGTAATTAAACATTACAGCTGAATCTTAAACCATTTATAATTAGATTCTTCACTTGACATCAACTGGTGATAATAAAATCTGCTTTGAAGCCAGCCGTCAGTTTCTTCGCCGTTGAAATTGTTCCTTTCTAACCGAAGCATACAAATATACAGTCATTCGAGATTCATGACATCCGATCGACTGCTTTGAGTCATTCAGTCATCGAATAAGTTATCTTATGATACTAATTTTTGCAATTTGGTCAACACAGATCAATTAGCTCACTAACTTGCCTACTATGTGGCCACTGATCAAGCCAGCATAACTGACGAGGTAATCCCCTTATATTCTTCACATACTCCTTTAAATCATCTCTATTACATAGCGCAATATCAAAAAGCTAATACTATTTTGTAGATTCGTCGTTGGTTCAGAGAGAGAATGCCCGTCAGCCACACAAACGGTCATGGTTTGACTTCCGGGTGATGCATTCCGAGACTTTGCCTAGCCGGTAGTATTTCCTGCTCTGTTGGAACATAAGCCCTATTGAAACTTCAAAACTTCAAGCCTGAAGTGCTTACTGTGTTCTACGTGGAATACGAAGGAATCAGACAATAAATACTATTTTGTAAGCAAAAATAGATTGTGCATGTTAAACGCATTCGTTATATACTTTCCTACACAGTAGAATATCAGTAGACTAATTCATCAAAAATCACTTCGTTAAGTGCACCATAATTACCCTTCTTTTATTTGTCTGTTTTCTTTTTTTTACAACATATTACGTCACTCACTGTAGAGCAAAGATATGTTTATTTCACTACTCTTACATGCTTTTCATCAATTTAATTCATCTACAGTCATTGTGTAAGCACTTTACTTTTAACTTTAAGAAGTTACAAATACTTCTCCTATTACTGATGCTACTACCACTTCAATGTACCTTTATTCATATTTGAATATGTGCAGATTATATTGAGGTATTAACTATGCTTAGAAGAGTATTAAAAATCGATTGTGCTAAGCTTCAGAGCAAATTTTGTCGGGTACGGATAAGGACATCAAAACCAGTTAGGATAGGACAATGGAGGTACGACAGACGGACACTGTTTTGAAATCAGTCTAGAGGCCTGTAACACTTAGCTTCAAGAAGCAAGATTCGAATATAGATTCATTCAGTGATTCTACATGGTTCAGAGACTTGACTTGCGCCTCACGAAAAGAATTTCCAGCAGTTTGCTGTGGAATTTCACTAATAGCAGCCTTCCCTTCATACTGAACACCATATAGCTGGTTAAAAAAAATAAGCAGTAAGGAACTCTGTAAGACAGCAAGTCAGACAACGAGCTATCACCTAACAAGTATGCAGAAAGGAATATGAATGGATTGGACAAACTCTGAATGAGAAGGCCTTCAGTAAACATCAAGTACCAAGCCCTCGAGTGGTATCCAAATACGAAAAGACGAGTTGAGTTTTCGGGGCTGACATGGTAGAGATCATATAAAGAGAAAATGAAAGTGTGTGTGTGAGAAATCGTGGAACCAGCTAAAAAAAATCCCGGTGGGTGCATACTGTGAAGAGTCCCAAACTAGGACGAAACAGCTGTCCAGCACTCCCAGGTTTTCCAATGGTTCTCTAACTAATGTCGGCTCGTGATGAAAGTCCTGTAACCAATCAAATCCCTACAAACCAACACTTGAATGAAAAAAGACTGCAGAGAATGGCGTGGTGCTGAAGTCTGATGTTCCATCCGGAACCCTTAGGAACGAATAGTTATCATAACAAAAATAAATAGTAAAATAGTTTGATTCGAAGTACTGATTAGGATAGCTAGCTAGTAAACAAGACTCACTCGTTAATCTAATGCCGATTTTATTTATTATTGTCCTTTTATAAGGTTAAACTGAAATATTTTTGATGTCATTTAGTAAACTGAAGTTATCACCTATTATATTATTATTCCCTTGCGTTCCGAGTGAAAGATACGGCTTCAACAACACATCTCCACTTTATTCTGTTTTCTGACTTCCTTTTCAGCTGGGTAGCTCCACGACTGGACTAACTCTGTCATCTCTTCTTCACACGATCTCCTCCATGTCAACCTAGAACGACCCACTTGTCACCGCTTCTCACTGCGATTCCACTCGAGCGCTGGCCTGGCGTGCGATGTCCTTTGGCGGCCACCTCAATGTATGCCCGATCCACCTCAACTTTCTCCTACATATTTGTTGAGCGATTGGCTCTTGGTTGGTTTGTTCTCATAGTTTCGTGTTGCTTATTCTTTCTGGCTATTTAAACTTCAGCATTGAGCCAGCGAAGGCAGCTGTTGATAAAAGTCTGCAGTAGTCTGTTGGAAATCCTTTTCGTGACACACAGTGCAAGTTTCTGATCCGTATAGAAGAACCGACTTGACATTGGTGTTGAAAATCCGAATCTTGTTCCTTATGCTGAGTGCGGAAGATTTCCAAACTGGTTTTAGTTTGATGAGGGCGTATCTTGCCTTTCGGATACTGACTGGCCTTGACATCTTCGTCCTTTCCGCCTGTAGTTGAAACAATGCTTCCCAGATGAGTTAAATCTCTCCCGCTAATGATGATGAGTGCTGGTTGTTGTTGTCGCTGTTGATTGGTTATCTTCATCACCTCCGTCTTTTCTGTGTGTTCACCTGCAGTCCTCTTTCCAAAGTATGATTTAAGACTTATTGATCATTGAATAAACTTGAAATAACTATCTATCTCTTATGCGAACAGTGAAACTTCTCAATAGCCAAAAATAAACCAATCACCAGTGAAACGGTGAGTAATTCAACTGAATCCTACTTTCTTTTGATTTCTATGCAACCATATATCTAAACTAGTTACTTTACTTGTAAAAAGATAGTCTCACTTCATAGTGTTCGTGTTGTAATAAAAAACATCAAAGAGTGTTATGATGTTATGGGCTTACTAGTAGAAATAGTTGTTATTCGTATGCAATGCAGTCAATCAAATGCACGTAAATAATTTTGGTCTCCAGTTTGCATCGATTATGGCACACAGCATTAAAACACAACTAATCTTGTGATAGATGCTCTAAGAATAACTAACTACTTTTAACTTATAACATACCATAATTTTACTGGCATAAGTTAGTTGCTCAATTCTTCACTATTATTGATTTCTATTGACGTAGTGAAGTTGTTGGTATGCTGTAACTGGAATTGTTTTTTTTTCAAGGAAACAATTAATCTCATTAAGTGATTACGACTTTTATTTTTTTTTCCAAATGATGATGTGGAATTTGAAACAACTGCGTTGGAAAGAGATTTATCCTGCTGCACTCTCTCAGTCGCTATATATATATATATATATATGTATATATATAGCGACTGATTAACATAAGCATCTAGAGATCATTCACATTGATCTGTAGGGCTCAAAAGTTAGATCAAAATGACCAGAAACAGACTAGATACCCGTTCAGCCGATTTGGAACAGAACTTATCTGGGTTTTTCAGCGTACATAGCTGCATTAGTCGGTATTATTAGAATTCTACTCACTTGATGCATCTAATTGTGATTACACAATAATGCCATCCTCACATGAGTCAGTTAGTAGTTGAGATTCTCAAAGAAAATCATTGCTTACAATACAAATAACCTAGTGCATTAACAGTTTAATCAGGCAATTGATCCGAACTTAAGTGGCTTGAATCAGTTGCGGTTCAGTGTCTATATGATACCTGCTCCATACTAGCGAAACAATCATAAGATAATTACACCACACATAGGTACGCACATCAGTTGGCAGCATGTGTATAAATTGTGTAAATGTCCACTATTTGCAGGCCTCTTATAATGTCAAGTAGGTAATATAATATAGTAGAAATATTTCCCATTGTTGATTCTCAACCTGAACTGACATTTTATTAACTAAGCTATGACGCTGAAATATTGTTTATCTGAGTCTCTTTAAATAGTCCTATTTTAGCCCTATTTTAGCTCATCTTGTGAATACTGAACAACAAACTGATGTTAATAATGCATTTAAAGTCATCTACTGTATTCCAACTGATCTTAATTTTGCCTTACGAGTTCGTATTCCATATATAGCTGAAAGCATTGAAATACCCCTGAAGAAAGACGCTCGTACAGTCGCTTTCCTTATCTTCAGGATCATTATATGATTGCTACCAGCTGATAACTTCTCCTTCTTCTTGAGCTTTTCACAGATTTAAGACAGTTTTAAACATCTTTAATTGTTGCATAAATTTTCTTGCCAATTTCATCTGAAAATCAGTTCGGTATTCGATTTTTATGCTTATTACTATTTACACATGCTTCTGAACTATAATTCTGTTGATCCTTATAACTCCACATTGTTTAAAAATATTCAGTGATTATATATACACATATCTTTCAAAAATTGGATTTTGGAGTGATCTTGTTTGATTGGTTGAAGGATTTCATCATGAGCTGACATCAGTTAGAGAATCATTGGAAAACCACCTAGGAGTACTGGACAGCTGTTTCGTCAGCCTCGTTTGGGACTGCTTATCAGTACGCACCCACCGGGGTTCGAACCCAGGACCTTTTGGTTACAAGGCGAACTCGAGCATCAGAGTTCCAAACTAGGACGAAACAGCTGTCCAGTACTCCCAGATTTTCCAGTGTTTCTCTAACTGATGTCAGCTCATAATGAAATCCTCCAACCGATATATATATATAGCAATTTAAGTAGTTTATGCGTAATACCCGTGCGTTGATGGTTCAGCGGTAGAATCTTCGCTAACCATGCACGATTCCCAATCCACGCCTTCCTTAGTTTCGCTTAGTCGATAGTAGGCTCATTATAGATGAAAGGTTGGCTGTGTACGATTAGCTGCTTCACCACGTATATAAAAAAACACACCACAGCTATTGGAACTTAAGATCTCATGTTTGAAACCTCCTGTGCTTCACGTGGACATTAAAGGAATCAAAGAAAAAGAAAACGTAATATTTACTTACCATTTTAACTAGTGTTTCAAATGCTTCTTTTACATTCACTCTACTTTTCGCACTTGTTTCTAAATAAGTACAACTGACACTTTGTGCGTATTCTTCAGCTTTTTGAACAGCAACAGCTCGTGCAGGCTAAGAAGAGAGAAAGAACGAAAACAAAAGTGTAATGATTAGAAATTTTTACTGTGGATTAAATATGTCCATTAGAAATTTTAAAAGATTGTGATTAGTAAATAGAGAATATTCTTTTCGATAACTTATTCTCAATATGTTAAATAACGTCGAATAAATAAGACCAATAGATTACAGTCAGTATAAGTGATATATAATTTACATCAATATGACATCACACTGAATATCAGGTAAATTAGGAAAGGTAATACGGCAGGCCAAATTAGCCGCAGTAGTAGCTGGATTTGTTTATTTTGCATGTACAACTCCAGTTATTTTAGACGTATTGCAATGCGCCATGTCGTCTGGAGTATTCGGTATCAACAGCCTTTTTAACAACTTATTCTCTACCTCATAGATGACAGAATCAGATTGTTCAGTGTTGACCTTATGACCCATTTTAGACCAGGTGGTTTAATATCGAACTGTTGGACAATTTTCACCACACCTTTATATTTAGCCATGCTGGTAATTGTTCCCAGCCGTATGAAGAGCAAGTTATCGAATAGCGTATCCTCTATTCACTAATCAGTATTTTTTGACAGATTAAAAACAACTTGATTTTCAATATTATTATTTATATACCTACTAAATCAATTTTATTTCCAACAATTAATTTAATTATCCTTGAGCCTGAATGATGTTCAACCATTTTCAGCCAAGTTTTCAATTCATCAAAACTTTTTTGGCAGCCAACATCATAAACTAAAAAAATGAGAAGAATGAAGAAGATATGACGAGTGAAGCAAAAACAAACGCGCAACTTACCAACTAAAGCACCTTGTGCATGACGGAAGTATGATGGAGTCAAAGTATTTTTAAATCTTTCTGTGCCTGCTGTATCCTAAACAATGTACATTTATTTATATAATAAAACTATTAAACATCAATGATATATAATATATACCCAAATATAAAGTTTCACTAACTGACCATCGACCCACATTTCATGCAATTTTAAATCTGTTCCAATAGTAGATGAAGAGTCCAAATCAGTTGGTTTTGTAGTGAATGCTCTAACTAAACTAAAAGACAGAAAAATTAGAACACACAAATGTATATATACATAAATACATATATATACATATATATATGAATGAGTGTATTTTAAACAAACCTGGATTTGCCAACATTTGAATCACCGACGAGAATGAGTTTAACTCTTTTGTCGACTTCACTGTGTTCATGATTATCACACTCAACATCAGTTGTTCCCATTGTTTTACTAAATAAATGAAAAGGATTTAGATTAAAAATTCCGAATAATGCTCAAGTATATATATATATATGCATGTATATATAATTTCAAACATTTATTCCCCTTATTTGTATTCCGGAGTTTGCGGGTTCGTGTCCCACCGGGGATGCCAGTGCGTCGGTGGCATAGCGGTTGGGACGCTCGCCGACCAAGCACATGGTCCGGGGTTCGATCCCCGGCCGACGCTCTCCTTTACCTCGCTAAGCTAGAAATAATGCTGATGAAGAGGAAAGGTTTGGCATGAGGCTAGCAACCTCATCCTGCAAAATAAACACTGCTACAGAAACTTCAAGTTTCTAGCTTGAAGCCCTGTGTTCCATTGGGGAACATGAAGGAAAAAAATTCCCCTTGATGAATTTGAATGAAGCAAGAACAACAGTTTTTGCAGAACAAAGTGGTACCATCATTTATTTCGTTGGCTTCTCATCAGCTGATTACAGCCCAATGTCATTATTTAAATAGTAGATCTACAGAAACAATTTTAACATACTTGCACAGAGTTCATTTTGAACAATAATCAATCAATCAATATATGCATACAGTAATTATATATATATATATATGTATGTATGTAATATTAAACACTATTCCGAAAAATAATGATCATACAAAATGGAAACTTTCGGCATTACGTATTCAGATGAAAGAGAGATGGAAATATCTAGTTACCAGGGCAAAGAAAGACTGATAACTGTTTCTTTCTGAACTCATAAATCAGGTTTCAGGCGCTTGATGGAGATGGCTTCAGTAAACTTGAGGAGAACTGAGCTCTTCTACCTATTGATAATTTTGAATGATCTTGAGACGTCCACCTCATAACCCGTGTCAAGGAGATGCCTGGGGATGGCACTGTTTAAAGCATTTATTCGCTTTAGATATAAGCTTTTTGGTACATGTTCAGAAAATCGTAGATATGCCCTCCTTTCTGTTCTTCCAAGGTAGCTGCTCCAGCAGATACACGTAAATTTGTGCATACAGTTGGAGTTAACATGAGAAGGATATCTACGGATTTTTGATTGCACCAAAGAGCAAGTTGTTCGACCCGACCCGACCCACGTCCAATTTCTAGTCAACTGTATTACGTCATCCGATTAACTTACTTAATTTACAACTGTATTATTCTCTACCCCCACCCTTATTTAATTTTAACCACCACTCATTAACACTGTTGCCAACCTGACCTACTCTGAATTCTACTCAATTGTATTGCGTCATCCAATTCACTTAATCAATTTTATTTTATTTTCTATCTAATTAACCTTTGTTTCCAAGCCAAATAATACTTATATTACGTAATTATCTAAACTTTATAAATCTAATGTACACACACAAACAAAATTGTATATAAATGCGATTGTACAGCTCAGTGAATGAATTCGCCGAAAAGAGTCTCTTCTCTGAACGCCTTCTTTTCTTTTATATGACTGAATGGGGATTTTCAAGTTAATATGTATAAATATATATATATATATGTATATATATACATATATATTATCAGATTACAGGCAGCGTGGGTTAGGATATCGAAGGAACAAGATTTTAAATCTTCAACACTGATCACAAATGACTCAGTGTTTTTGTATGGTTCAGAGACATGGTGCTCCCGTCTTCTAAAGCGTTTCCAGCAGGTTACTGAAGACTTTTGTCAAAATCTCACTTTATTCAAAAGTGGTGTTCAGATAGCCAGAAAAGACTGGCAACAAGGAACTCTGCTAGGAAACACACACACGCACTAAGCACGATCCTATCGCCTAATAGTTATTCTGATTGGAATGGAGACGGATTTGACATAAGCTGAGGAGACCATTGATAGACAACTCCAATGAAACTCCAATGGGGAAACGACAAGTTGGATATGGACCAGACAGTGAAATAGTAGAGATCGTATGAGGCGGAAAGGAAAGCTTATGGGCAATCGTGGAGGGAATTAGAGGGAATAATGATATTTATAATAGTGTTTGAAAGTATAGATTTCGATGTTAAATTGCATAAGTTTTTAAAGTTAAGAGTGAAGTCAGTAAATCTCATATTAGGATATATATATATATATCGACAAATGCGTTTATATTAGACAACTTAAATAGATATTGTAGACAAGACGGGGGTTATGAAAATAACCAACCAACAACAAGAGCAGCAGCAACAACATCCAGCGCCAATCACCATCAACGGGAGGGATTATCTAGGGAGCATTGTCTCAAATACAGGAGGAAGGGACGAGGATGTCAAATCGAGAATCGGGAAGGCGAGAAACACATTCATCAACCTGAAACCAATCTGGAAATCTTCGTCACTCAGCATCAACAACAAAATGATTCGGATTTTCAATACAAACGTCAAGTCAGTCAGTTCTTCTATACGGATCAGAAACTTGGCGAGTCACAAAGAATATTTCCAACAGCCTGTAGCAGACCTTTATCAACAACTGTCTTCGTTCTGTACTCAAGATCAGATGGCCGGAAAGAATCACAAACAAGAAACTATGGGGAGAAACGAAACAAGAAGCAATAGCCCAACAAATATGCAGGAGGAAGTGGAGATGGATTGAACACTCGCTGAGGAGGCCGTTGAGTGACATCGCGCGTCAGGCCCTCGAGTGGTACCCGAAAGGGAAGCGGCGAGTGGGAGGTCCAAGGGTGACATGGAGGAGATCGTGTGATGAGGAACTGAAACAGTATGGAATAACATGGATGCAGGTGAAAAGTACAGCAGAAGACAGAAGCAAGTGGAGGCGTGCAGTTGAAGCCCTATGTTCCACTAGGAACCCAAGGGAACAATAATAATAATATATAATAATAAATAGCTATTGACTTAGAAATTGAATGGCGATTGTCCGATACAAAGTCATCGGTGGGCAGTGTTAAAAAGTACTGGATTTGGAGGGAATATATGATCAGTTTTTTCTGGGTTTTAGATCACTCTTTTGCTATGATAATGGCTGATAAGGAAATCAGCCAAATTTCTACGAAAAACTAACAACTGTACACTTTTATTTTTAGCCAAAAAGAAACTTTAACATTTAATTGGACGCCTTAGGTGACAATGGAAACTTTGCCTTTTTTTTTGAGACAGAAACTGACGATCGCCTCTCCAACCATCCATCCATCCACCATCAAACTTTTACTACCATATAACCGTTCTGAAAACGAAATCTCATTAAATTTTAGGGGAAATTGTAACATTTACTCTTCATTCATATTAACAGGAGTATTTTAGTCTAGAAGTAAGATGAAACACCAAACGCATATCATTTTTATGCATTTGTGTAACTATTTATTGATTTCTTTTAAGTTTCTTGTCGCATAAAATGAAGATAGAGCATAGCTGAAATAAACAAATGGAAAAAGAGGTGCCCAGCATGAAGGTAATTGAACTAAAGGAACTTTGGTAGACTTAATTGAGCGAAAAAAAGATGGAAAGTTTCCGATACCAAATGACGTCATCAGAAAGTTAAGACAGACCATCATCTCTCCGAAATCATTGTGGAAATCTGTTGTACTCAAGATAAAGGAAAAAAATTCGAATACCCCATACCAGAGTTAAAGTCAGTTGTTCTAAATGTGTGTCAGAAAGTTGGTGTGTCACAAAAAGTATCTTCAACATGCTGCTACAGACCTTTATCAACAACTGACCTTGTTGCATGCTGTAGATCAGATGATCAGGAAGCATTAGCAATAAAAAACTTTGAGAACAAACAGATAAATAACCTGCTTTTCAACAAATATGCAGAAGAAAATCTAGATGGATCGGACATATGCTGAGGAGACCGCTTAATGACATCGTACAACTTGCCCTTGAATGCAGCACGAATCGGAAGCGACAAGTTGGATATTGGTCGGAGAGTGATATGGAGGAGATGAGAGACTATGATCAGTCGTGGTGCCAGCTGAAGAGAACAACATAGAACAGGACAAAATGGAGATGTACTACTGAGGCGCTATCCTACACTGGGAACCCACAGGGATAGTGATAATGTAATAATGACGTCATCGAATAATACGAAGCAAAGCAGCATCCAAAAATTGTAAAGTATTACAAACTGTTATGTCGAACTGGGAGCGAACCAACCAGGAACCGATTGTGAAACAAATAGGCAGGAAGAAATGGAGATGGACTGGCCATACTCTGAGGAAACCATCAAGTGACATCACTAGACAAGCCCTCTAGTGGAACCCGAAAAGGAAGCGGCGAGTTGGTCGTCAGTGCAAGGGTGACTTGGAGGAGGTCATGTGAAGAGGAGATGAAAACGTGTGGGCAGACTTGGAGCCAGGTGAAAACTCTAGCAGAGAACCGAACTCAATGGAGACGCACGGCTGAAGCCCTATGTTCCTCTAGGAATTAAAGGAAACAATAATAATGTCGAACAAGTGTTACTGTAGAAATTAACAAGTGATCAGGACAAACACATGAGAGCTTATTTGGTGATTCTAACAATAGAACCCAACTCTATTCAAGAAGAACACTGCAAAAGACCAATATATGTGGCATTCATCAAACAGATAGGAGTAGGATGGTTGATTTAGCATAGTTTCCAGTCAACGGCATTCTTTTTACATATCCAGCTGATCCATTATACTTCGGTACTTCATATTAAAAGACTACAGTTAAAAAAATTAATACAATTACTGAATGTTAGAAATGCCCAGCCTATGAATACTGACCAGTTACGATGAATAGAAACAATCGAAAGTCAATAAACAACTACACATTTTAGAAAAATCAGTATATGAAACCTAAGTAAAGATTACTTCTAAATTGATGTAGAGGGCTCTAAGAACCAGGACTAAAGCTCTAAGAATAAAATACTAGATGTGTTATGAGTACAAATCATAATAAATCAAAAGTACTCAACTGAATCAGTTGAATCACTAAATATGATCTAATTAGATCTTGGTGTGTGTTACTTCAAAAAATAAAAAAATAATTGGATAAAACGAAACACAACAATTACTGAATATTA